AGGATTGGGATGGTGGAGGGGGTCTTGGGGGGAGCTCAAGGGTTGACATGGGAGATGGACGCTGACTCCAGGGGGGCCATGTCTCGACGGCCGCTGGTCTTGATCATGCCAGAGGTCTGGACCGGGGAGGAGGCATGACAAACGGGGCATGGACCACGTACGTCAGAGGCACGTGTGTCGCTCAACACGAGGCCAAAGGCACACCCAACTCCTCCATGCATCCCCCAAAACCTGCAGCCCTCCCCTCCCTCCACAGGGGCGCGTGACGGACCACAGGGTGGGGCTGACCCTGCATGGGATGGAGGCGGTGCTGGTGCAGGGAGACATCGACCCCTTCATCGACGCCCTGGCCCTGGACCACCAGATGCGCCTGCTGGCCAGCCTGGGGGCCTAGTGCTGAGCCGTGTCCCACGGGGCGCCAGAGCGGGCGCGCTCACCCTGCATGCTCCCCGAGCAGGACGGAGACCGTGCCAGCGAGCCGCACGAATGGAGACATGATTTTATTGCCAAGATTGACAGTATGTCATCGTAATGCGATCCTGATGGTGGCCGTCATGTCGTGACCAGGCGCTGAACAGGGGGGTCATGGGACCCGGTCCGGCACGGGGAGTCGGTGCCCGTACGCAGACCCCGCCGAGGGTCCTGCTGATGCAGAGGAAGGACAAAGGCTCGCCGATCGCAGGTCCTGGTGGCACGCGTCTGTCTGGATCCGGCAATGCCGCGGTAAGAAGGGGACAAGGTGCCAGCCATGCAGCGTCATGGAGCTTGGGAACGGTCACTCCTCCATGACCTGTCGATCGGAGCCCCATGCTGAAGCTCCAAAGACTTGATGCGCAGGACTCCGTCCTCCAGGACTCCCTCGTGGACGACGAGTGGCAGCTGCACGACACGGGGCTCCGGCCGGAGCTGTCTGCTGAGGAACCCTTTGGCTTCGTACTGGGATGCATTGGTGGTGCGCTGCCGAGGATGGAGGGCGGGGCCTGCTGACGCCTTCGTGTCTAGTTGAGTGGTGATGAGAATGCAGCAGCATGTCGATGGGTAAAACTTGCTGCCTGTGCGATGCTGAGGTGCTCCATCAGCCCCCCTCCTCCCCGCCTCACAGGTGACAACCCCATGAGAGCAAGGCTGCTCGATGCCTTGATGCTCCTGGGCAGCACCGACCTGCCGTGGGCGCAGCCCTTCCGAACGGTCGACGCCCCATCGGACAAAGTCCTTGCACTGCAAATGAGGGTGCGTTCATGAGGAGTGCACTGAATCCCGCGGGTGAGTCGCGCTCCCTATCACCGTGATGTGATCACCCCTCTCAGACCATGCCGCCCTCGGCACACTCTGTCTGATGCGTGTGTGGCACAGGGGAGACACTGGGTCCTCACCCTCCCACGACCACCCCTCACCCCACCCCGTTTGACTCGGCCCGCAGATCAGCGCGGGGGACCGCATGGCAGCGCTGCTCCCCGCCCCCCTGCACAGCTCGCGCCTGCTGGCCGAGCTGGCGGCGCGCCCGGCACCCCCCCGCCTGGTCGCGGCCATGACGTCCGCCGTCGCGGCCGCCGGCACGGCCGGCGCCGTGCCCTTTGAGGCTGTGCTGCATCTGTTGGACCTGGTCCAGACCATGTGGATGCTGTGCGTCTGTCGACGGGTGAGCGGCGCGCCCTGCTGGTGGCCAGGCGCCCCCCCCCCTCCAGCCCTCGAGAGGGAGGCCTCAACCTGGCGCCCACGCCTGCATGCATCACGCTCCGGCCTGATGCTGGTCAGGGTGGCCGCGTGGTCCGCACAGCCCGCCTCACACCACACGCCTGCCCCCGCAGGTCCTGGTGGTGTGCGAGGGGGAGCGGGACGCGGCGCTCTGGGACCACCTGATCACGGCGGAGATGCTGACGCGGGCGCTGCCCAGCCCGTTTGGCGAGCGACACCTGGCGGACCTCCTGCTGGTGCACGTGGTGGCGTGGCCCGGCGCGGCCTGCACGGCGAGGGTGCGGCGCGCCGCGGAGCTGGCGTTTGTGGCGTCCCCTTGGGCCCCTGCGTGTGAGTGTGGAGGGGGCTGGGGAGCCGGGGGAGCGAACGCGCCGCGCGTCCGGGTGCACCGGCTCACCCGCGGAGAGAGGGGCGTCCTGCGCCCACGTCCCGTGCTCGCGCTCATTCCGCACCGCTTGCCTCCTGGCAGGGGCACGTGGCGCGAGCGGCGCGGAATCTCAGCGCCCGGCGCGAGTGGACGTTGCCTGCGTCCCCGAGGGGGCGCAGCGCCGCGACCTGGACTCGCTCCTGCTCCCGGCCCTGGGCGGCGCGGCGCACGCCCCTCCACCCTCGGACCCCGCCCCCTCGGAGGCTGCATGGCTGCAGGGGGCGCAGGCTGCCTGGGAGGCGGCGGCGCGCTCCCCGGACCTGGCAGAGTACTATGCCAGGCTGGAGAGGACGGCGTTGCGGGGGGCTGCTGGCTGGAAGCTGCATTCACGCTGATGCCGCGCGGGAGGCAAGCACTGTGGAGTCTCGGTGTCTGATCCGGGGTCTGGCGCTGTGTGGTGTACTGTGCCCAGTGCTTGCGATTCGCTGGTACCACAAAATCTCGTGGGCACACGTGACCCCTCCGATGCCGGCAAAGAGAATCTTGGAGCAACTCCAGCCATGTTCCGTTAGGTTAATTGTTGTGCATCGCCCGCAGGGGCTGGAAAGCTCACACATTTGTATTCCAAGGCGGTACATTCCGTTCGAACGCGCAATCGAAGCCACGCCATGCCGTCCATGCCCGGTCGCGCGGGTCCTGGGACGTCCCTGTGGCACCCCCCGCACTCCCCGGCCCTGCGCTCGATGGTGGAGTTCGAGGGGTTTTTCTCCCCATGTCCATCATGTTGGGCGTTTCGGTCCTCTAGGGATGCCCTGCTGAACTTCTGGGACTGCGAAACTGGACAACCCCACTGCAGCTCGTGTGTGCTGGGCGCCTGCCCGCAGTCCCTGGTCCAGGTAAGGCCATGGCGCGGTCGCTGGGCACCGCCTGGGGCTCACGGATTGCTCACGGGGCTCCGATCCAGAGCACAACGGCGGTGGGGAGGCGTGCGAGATCGGTGCGAGTCTCGACCGGGTCGAAACTGCAGCCCTCTTTGCGCGCGAATGCAGCTTCCCACAAGTCCGCTGCAGCTTCCAGGCCATGGTCCTAGATGACTTTGCACGTCGCCCCAGCCCTCAAATCCCCACCCCCATCCCAAACAGGTCAGGAGGAGCTCATACCACGATGTGGTCAAGGTGGCAGAGATCTCGCGCCACATGGATCTTGGAGAGATCCAACTGTACATAATCAATGGCGCCAAAGTCGTTTTCCTCCGTCGCCGTCCTCAGCCCAAAGCCCCGCGTGGGACGAGCAGTAACTACACCTGCCTCATGTGCTCCAGACACCTACAGGTAGGCTACTGGGAGCATCTGTTTTGTTTCAGTGAGCCCTTTCCTTTCAGGCCCGGGGCATTCTCCAATCCCCCATGTGCAGGCCCCTACCATGCATACCCCAAAGGGGCCCTCGCCACCCCACGCACTCCAACCCTTCTCGTACCGCAGGATAATAACATGTTCTGCAGCCTGCAGTGCAAGCTGGACACACAGGCACCCAACCTGGAGCACCCAAGCACCCCCCTGCGCTGGAACACCGTGCCTGCCAAGGCCACCAGCGGGCAGAGCCAGATGGGCCCTGGGACACCCCCAGGCTACGCAGACGCGCCCATGCTGCCCAGCTTCGAGCGCTGCCCAGGGTGAGCATCTGGAGGGTGGGGGCCGGGAAGAGTGGGATGAGGTCCAACCCTGCCCTCTGGCAAGAGTGTGTGTGGGGAGCAACACCACTTGCCAGGGGCCTTGCCAATGAAAGCAAACGCATGCACCGGGCTCCTGCTGCTGCGCGGGAGTGACTCGCCCCTCCCAACCCTCGCTCTGCTCGCAGCCTATCGACGGCCAGCTCCAATCACCGGCGCAAGGGGCCTCCCCTCCGTGCGCACTATGCCTGAGGGCGAGGCAGTATTCCTTCAGATAGAACCTAGCTGGCAAAGATGCCAGCGATAGATGCGATACATGATCAGTAGTTTTCTTCTCTTCTTTTTTACTGTACCTGCTCCCAATGATCCCCCCCCACATCCTCAGAATTCTTTCGACTCCAAGGTTTTTTTCTGTGCTGATATCGAATTTCGTGGTGGTGCCCAGATCTTCACTGCTACCTTCCTTTCAAAGACCTGAGCCCTGGCTGGGGCGAGGGCAGCCGCTTGGCATATGTGCCTGCAGGCCCTGTACAGATTTGAGCCCTCGATGTACTACTAATGCATGCATGATCTAAAAATAACAACCGGTTTCCCTGGTGCTGCTGCAACCAATCTGTAAGATACAGTGATTGAGATCGGATTTGGATGCCCGACAGCTCAGAGGATCTGAATGAAAACCGGAGCGCGCTCGAATTCGTCAGAGAGGATCTGGGGCCATGACGGCAGCAGCTCTTGGCAGTTTTGAAACCCAAGGGTAAACCTTCCGGTACATTAGACAACCATCATCGGCCCGCCGAGACGACTCCAAGGTTGGCGCCCCGGCACCTCCGCCCGCCCGAAGAGAATGGACCCTTGCCTCCACGGGCCCACGCGCGGCACCATCTGCATCTGATCCGCCATGGAGGAAGAACTCTACCAAGGCCTCATCGTGAGTCATCCGCACGTCGCCATGCGCGCAACCATGATCTCACGTGCGGCATCAGATTGACCCTTGGCCACTCCGTCTGTCACCCCCCAGGATACCTACGCCTATGTCGCTGGCCTGCACGACTCCAACGCCGCCCCAGGTTCCATCCCCGACATATCATGGGAGGGTTGGCAGGAGGCAGCGGATCTGTTGGGGGTCCGGCCCCCTGGCCCGGCCATGCGCGCTCGCCAGGCCATCAAGGCCGCCCTGGCTGCCCATGCCGCCCAGACCAAGGGGTTGCGCGTGGACTGGGGCACCGTGGAGTCGCGGTGCATGTCCATCTGCTGTGGTCTGGCCACGATGACACAGATGACCAGTGCTGTGAGTCCGCAAAGTGGTTCAGGCTGATTTTTGATGGAGGGAGACAAGGTGTGGGGTGGCCTCCGGGACGTGGGTGGGCATGCCTGACACTCCTCCGGTGAGCACCCTGCATGGCGTCGGGTGCCACGCATCCCTAATACATTGGGCAGGAATGTCGCCCCGGTGCGCACGCGTCGAACCGTAGGGTGCGTCAAGGTTGCGACCAACTGCCCTCTCGCAGGCCGAGGCTGAGGCTGGACCCGGGGCCCTCACGGCCTGCATCCTGTTCCACGACCGGCACAGCCGGGGGGGCCGTTCCGAGGTGCACTACTACCTCACCATGGACGGCCCGGGCGGCACGGACGGCACATGGTTCACCCGCAGCATGCTGCGCCGGACCTTTGGCCGGGAGTCGGCGGAGGAGCTGATTGCCGACTACGTGCGGATGCAGCGAGGTGCAGGGGGGTGGAGGTGGAGCTTGTGGGGACTGGGGTCGTGCCTGGTGAGACCCAGGCGGGAGCAGTTCCTGGTGTCGTTTCCCGGCCATTGGCGGCACTGCTGCAAGAGGCTGTGTGCGGGAAGTGCACGCTCAACTCAGTGCAGGGTTCGTTTCCAGACACGGCGCCCTCTACGGATACCCGCCCTCCCAACCCCCCCCCTCCCCCCCCCCCCTCCCCCACACACCGAACCCTGCAGGCGAGGACCCAGAGGGCACGGCACTGCAAGCACCACCCCCGCACCACACGGAGCAGCTGGATCTGGATCGTGTGCCCCTGCTCCCCGGTAGCCTCCACCCGTCTCCGACGACCGCCCGGCCAGCGCCCTCCTCCGGCCTCGCCGTGCGGCTGCCGGGCCGCGTCCCACCCCACCTTGCCGCACGCCCGGTCACCGCGCAGCCGGCGCGGCGCCCGGGCCGGCTGTACGCCACGCCCTCCCCAACCCTCGGCCAGGCGGGCCCGCGCTCTCCCGGCGCCGCCGCGCCGCACGCCTGGCCGCGCCTGCCCCACGGCGCGGCACCGGACTCCCGCCCCGTCCCCGCCTTCGAGGCCCCGCCCCCCCTGTCGTGGCCGGTGAAGGGCGTCAGCCCGCACCGCCCCGCCTACTCCGACCCCGCCCCGCCGCCCGACGGAGCAATGAGCTGGCCGTGGCGCAGGCCGGCGCCAGGGCCCGGCCCCATCCCCGGCTTCACCCCGCCCTGGCCCCGCGCCGCCGAGTTCCCCATCTACGGAGAGGTGGAGAGGGAGGAGCAGACCCCGCTGCGCAACACCTGGCCGGGCATGCGGGCTGAGGACCTGTCCGACGACGACTCCTCCGCCCACCGGCAGCTGCGCCGCCGAGCGGCGACCAGCGTGCGCCAGAGGAGCCGCGACCGGCGCCTGGTCCGCGGGGCCGGCGTGGGGCCGCCGACCGCCGCCAGGCGCCGGCGCGGCACGCGGCGCACGCTGCAGTTCGGCGACCCCGAGCCCAAGCGCCCCAGGCTCGCCTCCCCCGTCCGCCCGCCCGACGCACGGACGCTGGAGGCGCTGGCGGCCGGGACGGTGCGCGTCACGCGCCGCCTGGAGCTGGCGCTGGCGGCCCGGGACGGCGGGCGTGGTGCGGCGGGGGATGTCCAAGCCGGCGAGGCGGTGGAGGGGGGCGAGCGGGCCGGGATCTGGGAGGGCGGCGTGGGAGCGCCGTACTCCACGGCCGACCCCGGCGGCGAGGCCCCCGCGCCGAGCGCAGGCCAGACGACGGTGAGCCTGGCGAGGCAGCAGCCTGCCTCGACGCAGGAGGGGGGCCGTGCCGGCGATGCAGATTCCAGCGGCATCGCCTCGACGGTGGGGGTGGGGGAGCGGCCGGGGGGCGCCGGGGTCCCGGAGGTCTCCAGCGCCGCCAGAGATCGGGACGGCGGGGACCGAGGAGCGGAGGAAGGGAGCGCCAGCGCCGCCGCGGCTGGACCGGCGGGCGGCGATGGCAGAGTGGCCGTACGTGGCGACGCCGATGTGCGCAAGGCCGGCGCTGCTGCAGGAGCCCCGGCGGGACAGGTGCCTGTGGATGCGAGGGGCGGCGCGGGACCAGGCAATGCTGCCGTGCCAGAAGCGGCCCACACCACTGGAGTCCAGTCCGGGGAGGCCGGCGCGACGGCCGCAGGCGAGACGAGTGGGGGGGGGTCCCTGAGGAGTGTGGGAGAGGCAGTCACGCCAGGGAAGAAACGCTGCAGCAGCGCTTGATCGACACCCTCCCTTCCGTGCCCTGTGCAGGGCGTGCCGACCTCCCGCCCCGCATCGAGGCGCTGCTGGCGCCAGAGGCCTGGCAGCACGTCCGCATCCTGTGTGAGTGCGAGGAGCGGCAAGGGCAGGGTGCTAAGGCGGCATGCGCCCCAGTGCCTGAGCGCGCGAGCGGCTGTTCTTTGCGCTGGGGCAAGCTTGGATGGCCATATTACGACCCGCGAATGCAGGCTGACTGAGTTACCTCCACCACCATCCTCTCAAACACACACACACACACACGTTCATCAACCACTCATGTGCAGCTGCCAGGGTCAAGGCAGAGTCTCGGGAGGTGCTGGTGGAGTGCAGCTGGGCGCAGCCGCGCCGCGTGCGGCACCGCATCCTCACCCACGTCCTGCAGGAGCGGCCGCACTGCCTGAGGACGCTGGTCCAGTACTACGAGCAGGTCGCGTGGGAGAGGATGGAGAAGAAGCGGGGCCAGGGCTGTAGGGAGGGCACCAGGGCGCCGGAGCCCGACCCGGCCGAGGCCGAGCCCGCTCGAGATTCATAACGCTGTGCTAAGGTCCCCGGCAACTGCCAGGCCTGTGTCCCCGCACGTGTGTTCAGATCGGTTTCGGTGCGCAGGACTGTACAGGGGGAGCGGGGAGAGGCAGCGGGAAGGGAGTGTGGGGTGCAGCAGAGGGAGCGGTGCAATGGTGGTCAGGCAACAGCCTCAGCGGTCACTGCAGCCGCCTCGGCGGTCCCGGCAGCAGCCTCTCGTCGCAGCGCGGCAGCGGCCTGGGACTCCTGGGCCGGCACGGGCCCGTCCACCGCTCTCCACTCCTTCTTGAGGAGGCCGGAGATGCGCAGGGGCCGCTCGTCGCTGACCTGTCCATTCCAGCTCAGCACTCCAAAGGCCTTGCCATGCGCTCCGTCCTGGGAGGAGTAGGGACCATGTTGGATTGATATAATCACCACTTGACCTCGACGGATCCATACATAGCGTGGAATGGTGCACCCGCCACAGCGACCGAACCTGCGACAGCTTTATGCTGGTGATAGAGTAGTGTGTGCCCTCCTTCCAGGTCGTCCTCGCCAGCTTGGAGCCCACTCCATGATGAGGAAGTTTACTCAACACCTCGAACCCTGATGTGAATAGGGCGGTGATGTAAACTACACGCATAGGCATCGGAGGGGTTCCTACTGTCCGTGCAGTCCAAACCCACTCACCATTCCTCGCGAGCCCGGCTAGGGACGCCCGCATTGCCAACACCAAGGCCTATCTATAGACAAACAATTTCTTTTGGAGTACTCCTTCAGCAACCCAGACTCCCAGTCCTCAGTTAGTCCTGAGCTCGGTGTGCGAGATGTACCGTGCTGCCAGTGCTGAGGAGGGAGCAGAGCTTTGGCCATTCTTTCCAGCCCCGTGCGCCAAATGCCGCCATTCCCTCGCAAAGCCGTGGCAGGCACCTGCGCCACCCTCTTTCTCCTTCTAGTGGAGTGGCAAGGGCACAGCTAGCACGATGACGACCCGTAAGTGGGCGAGGAAGGCGCAGCTGGGATTCTCGGTGTCGTGCACGGGCCGGCTGCTGTGGCTGAAGGCCTCCTCTGCGCCCGGAAGGGCCTTTGTTGGATGCGCTGTCGCGGCTTTTAGTATCTTGATAGTTTCCTCAAACGGCCTGGGAGGGTGTCTCCACCCTCCTTGGCTGTGCCCGCCCCACCCACACTCCCTCCTCCGACCCCATCCCGCGCCGTGCAGACTTGAAGAAGAACCGGAAGAAGAGGGGCCACGTCAGTGCCGGTCATGGCCGCGTCGGCAAGCATAGGAAGCATCCTGGCGGTCGCGGTAACGCTGGTGGTCAGCACCACCACCGCATCATGATGGACAAGTACCATCCCGGGTACTTCGGCAAGGTGAGCTGGCCACCGGGGTGGGTCGGCTTCCTTGCCCTGCCCTTGCCTGGGCACTGGCGATGGCTCATGTCGTGATGTCAGGACCTTTACTGTGAAGCAAGCGTGCTGGGTTGCTGTTTGGGTGGGAAAAGGCATAGAGGTGCTGGATGCCATTCCTTGGCATGCATTGCTCTTCGGGGCAGATGAAAGTGGCCAGGCGGGGATAGTTTTTGCAGCCTCGCCAATGGTGGAACAAATGCATGCCTCTTGTCCACACACACACTGCGTGCCCGCCCCTTATTCCATTGTTCCCCCACCGTCTGGTAACACTTGCTCTCTTCACCACCCATCCCCCCCCCCAGGTTGGCATGCGGTACTTCCACCTGAACAAGAACAAGTACTTCCAGCCCATCATCAACCTGGACAAGATCTGGAGCCTGGTGGGCGAGTCCGCGCGTGTCGAGGCCGCCAAGGACACCTCCTCCGCCGCCGTGATTGATGTCACGCAGCACGGCTACTTCAAGGTGCTCGGCAAGGGCCAGCTCCCAGAGCAGCCGCTGCTGGTGCGCGCCAAGTTCATCTCCAAGCTGGCGGAGAAGAAGATCAAGGCGGCCGGCGGTGCCGTGGAGCTGGTTGCGTAGGATTCATGCCCCTGTAAGCCTTCCACACCCATGGCGTGACACAGGGGAGAGGTGTGCAGGAACCCCAGAGCTGGGTGGCCTGAGATCCAGAGGATGTGAGACTCTGGGGGCGTGACTCGGTTTATTCAAGGATCGGGGGTGTGGGAGGTCCAGGACAGCTGGTGGTTGGGGTGAAATCAGAGCCAAGCAGGTGGGGGGATGGAAGGGCATCCAACAGAAGACGTGCAGGAATGTTACTCGCTGGAAAGCAAGTCGGCCATGTGCACGCAGGGCGAGGATAGGGACTCTACTCCTTGCATCTCTTGTCATAGAACAGACTCACAGCTCCAGGAGGCGTTACAGCCATCATTGGCAGGCAAGTGTTGGCGGGGCATGAAAGGGTACCGTACAATGCATAGGAGGCGCAGGGAGCCTGGAACGTCTTCATCAAATTGCGCACTGCATGCTCCAAGGACTCTACATCCCAGGGATCCTTGACAAGGGAGGGGAGGAAAGGTGCCAGCAGACCGCACGCGCTGGCCTTTGACCGAATTCACACAGGTCTCTAGGGGTCGGCTTGACAGTCTATTGCCCCTAGCAGCACAGTGAGGCTCTCGCCTCACAGCCAGATGTCGCTGCTGCAGTCGCCGCCGGGGTAGCGCACCTCGTGCGCCAGCACCGGACCCCCGGGCTCGGCCCCGAAGTCCACATAGAAGTCGTGGTTGATGGACAGCCCGCCGTTCACGTCGTCCACGTTGATCTGCAGGAGGTAGGACCCCTTCTCCACCAGGTCCGGGTAAAACTGCTTGTCCCAGGGAGAGAACAGGGAGTTGGTCACGTACAGGCGCTTGCCGTCCAGGCTGCGCGATGGGCGAGGGGGGGGGGGGGGGATCAGGTTGGGAAGAAAGGGCGGGTGGGTCAGTGATAATGTGGACGGAAGGTGTGAGTTACCATGTACCTGAGCTGGATCATCTGGGGCCCTCCCAGCAGCTTGTGACCCTGCACGGTTGGAATCTCCGGCTGCTCGGTCAGCCCCAGCTCCTCTAGACCCTCCGTCACCTGTGGGGGGTGAGTTAATAAAGTCAGTCAGAAGGGGACTATCTGCTGGCCAAGGCCAGCCTCCCCCCACCATGCATCTCCCCTTCAAGCACACTCAGGTGCTCGCCTTGACGGGTCCGTCGCGGCGGATGCTGCCGCCCACCCACACCCTCCCCGCCAGCTTGGGGTGCTCTGGGTCGGTGATGTCGTACTGCACGATGTCACCCCGCAGCCAGTTGGAGAAGTACAGATACCTGTGGGGGTGTTGGGGTGGGGGTGGGATGGGGTGTTGAGCAGGGATGCAGGAGGATCTCCCAGAAAAGTCACCCATAAAGGTCCCAGGGGCGACGACCGGCGCTCCCTCGTTCGGTCTCTCAAGGCACCTTCCCAGATAGCATCATCCCCAACTCCCTACCCACAGCTCCGACACCACCCCCTCAGACTTCAATCCTACTTGTCATCCAGGGAAATCAGAATGTCGGTGATGAGCGGAGGCTGCTCGGGCAGCGCCCAGCCCTCCACCTTGGTCCAGGGCTGCTTGATGACGGGCTTGGCCACCCACTCCTCTCCGCCCGGCGGCTTGGTCAGGTGGATGACGTTGGAGGACAGGGCCGCGCCGATGAAGCCGTGGCGCGAGGCGGGGTCGTGCTTGAACCGGATCTCCAGTGGGATCAGCCCGTCCTGGCCCAGGTGGATGGTCTGCTTCAGGTCCCGCCCCTCCCAGCTCCAGATGTACACCGCGTCGCCGTACTCTGTGGGCACCTCGGCCGGGTTGAAGCCCTTGAACAGCGCGGCGGGGGCCCCCCAGGAGGTGCTGGCCAGCAGGTCGTGGGCCGGCTGGTACCAGAAGTCGTAGCCGTACTCCACCTCACTTCCGGACCAGGTGCCCTTGACCTCCAGGTTCTCATCCAGCACGACAAACCCGCCCTTGGCCTTGCCGTCGGGGGTGCCCAGGGCGGAGACCACGATGTCGCCGTTGCCCAGGCAGTGGGAGGTGTGCAGGAAGCCCAGCCCCGTCTTCTCCTGGATGGCGGCGGGCTCCACCACCTTGTGCAGGCGCGGCGCGCGGGGGTCCGACACGGTGTCCACGGCTGCAGGAGGGAGGTGGGAGAAGGGGGGGGGGGGGGGATTGCTGAATCAAAGGGGATGTCAGGATCCGGGGTATCCACGTCCCCGCCGGCAGACAGACGGGATAACGAGGCGGTTGGAGGGGATGACACGCGCATGCATGTGCCCGGCGCAAGGCTTTGCGCACAAGCAAGAGGAAAGCCCGCCAGCCAATTCCCATCCCCAAACCATGGCCACTTGCCGTAGATGCGCCCGGACTTGAGGGAGGGCAGGATGAGGAGGGACCTGGACTTGGAGGAGTTGCCGTGGCAGCTGCTGCAGGCATTCCAGCCAGAGTGGTGGAGCTCATCCCCCAGGTGGGTCACGGGCAGGCGGTGGATGACCTGGAGAGGAAGGTGGGAGAATGGAGGGCCCGACCTTGATCTGCGACCTTGATCTGCACCCTGCGACCGCACATGCCAGTCCGACATGGATCCCATCGTCGATCGACTCCCCGACTCCCAGGTACCTTTGAATACGTCTTGCTTTCGGGATCGGCGTCCACGGTGGCCAGGTAGTCGGGCCTGGACTGGTCGGGAATGATTGCCGGAACATACAGGAGCGTCTCCCGCGGCCCCTTCTCCTTGGCCTCCTGCAAGGTGTCCCAGGGGAGAAGGCACCCCTCAATTCTGGAAAGAGGAATCAATGGGATATACAGCCTATTGGATGCCCGCTCAGGAAGCGCCAGGCCCCCCTCTTACCAATGGAGTGGCATAGCCGGGGCCGGAGCCGTTGCAGCAGGTCGCCATGTCCGGTGATGGACTGGGTCAATCGGACGCAAAGTAGATTGGGGTTACAGTCTGGATGTTTGGTGGACTTACTTCGAATTACATCGTGACTCGCTGCCATCGCTGGCACAATGAGAGACTCGCGTCTTTTGCTGGCACATGGAGGTCTCCTCCAGGATTCTTCCCCCGGTCGGAGCGGTGTGTAGCACGCAGGGACATGGCCGGAGCCCTTCTTTCTCTGTGGACAGCTGCTTGTGGACCTGCACCGAAATCGAGTCCTCATCAAATGAGATGATCTGAGACTGACTGGGATTGCTGGCAGATTATGAAATGCGTTTCCTGTCCACCATTTTGTAATGCGGTCACCATCGGCGCATTGACTGCCCAAGCACGCAACCCGGATCTGTTGTAGAAAAACATACAGCTCTCATAATGTATGCATCGCTACATGGTTCTTCCTGCCCCTTGAAACCCCGGGAGAGACTGTAAGAGGACGATAATACTTGTCAATACAGTGCGAAGGCACACGAGCACTGAGGTCATAGCTGCAGCACGGCAATGGCTCATTATGCAAATCCCAAAGAAAGACATGGGTGGCCTTCGCGAGAGTTGGAGATAGGTCTTCCAGCCAGGACGCTGGGTTAGGTGCAAGCCCTTCATGGGTGCCCATGCCAAGGCATGTGGCACCTCACCTTGGTGGCCTCATGTCCTCCCTCACCGTATGCTTCAAAAAGTGAAATCAGTGCGAAGCTGAGCATCTGTGGATGTCATCGTGTTACCTTGTAGCCCATGAATGCATGATCTGATGTGACTTTCTTTCTCGTGAGGAGATCCATCTCGTCGTCAAGGGAGGAGCACGTGCACGCGCCCAGGAGGAGTACGATCCTCAACCTTGCAGGATCTTCGGGTTCATAGGCAGCTTGATCAGGTTTGTTGTGCTCAAAGCAACCCTCCCGCGTCCCTTGTTGCCTTGCGGCAGACTTCGTCTGTTCAGGCCACTTCCTGCCGGGGAGGGATTGTTCGAGGGTGCGCCCCAGCCTCACACACATCCCGCCCGCCTCGTCAAGGATGGCTGGCCAAGGCGTCAGCAATCACGAAAGTGCAGTGAATGCAGCGGGTTACGAGCGTCTCCCCGCCCCTACACCCGACGGCTTGGCGGACGCAGAGGCCCAAGTCCTGGACGACACCACCGTCGAGGAGCTGTGCGAGCATGTGTGAGTCGAACTGCCTGCCTGTTGCCCTGGTCCTGCGCTCTGGTAGGACAGACAGTGATGTCTTTCCTTCCCCCTTCCTGCTGCAGACACCACAGCAATCGCGCTCCCTGGCTCCGGGCCCTGGTGCTGGGAGGTGAGACTCAGATGGGAGGGGGGGTGGGGGGCCTCGGATGTGCCTCTCTTTCCAATGGCATGGAAACCTCCGTGAGGACTGGGGCAGGACCTACCATGCTCAGGAGCCCCTTGCCCTGCCACGCCCAGTGTCGCTCGCTGGAGAACTTCCTCACTTCCCCTCCCCACCTCACTCTCGCCAGCCAACGACGGCCTGGTGTCGGTCGCTGCCCTGCTCATCGGCGTGACGGCTGGCTCCTCCGATCTGGCTGCCATGCGCCTGTCTGGCATCGCGGGCATCGTGGGCGGCGCCCTGTCCATGGCGGTGGGCGAGTACATCTCCGTGTCCTCTCAGCGCGATGCCGAGGAGGCAGACATCATGCAGGAGCGGCTGGAGCAGCTCAAGGGCCCCGACGCAAGGGTGAGGATCGTGCAGTGGTGAAGTCCTCAGAGAGGATGAGGAGAAAGAATCTGTGCAGCATCTCAGCAAGCAGGCGGCGCCGTGATCCTGCGTTGCACAGGATCGGGGGCCCTCCCTGGACTCAAAGAGGCGTCCATCTCCCTGAGACGAGTTTGAGGCCCTCCTGCCCCTCTTCTCCCTTTCGCATCCCTTCACCCCCTCCCCCTCATCACAAATGCAAGTGTACCGCACCTTCACAACCCCCTCCCCCCTCCTACCCAGGCCAAGGAGCAGACCGAGCTGGCCCAGATCTACGTGGATCGCGGGCTGCCGCCCAACCTGGCGGCCCAGGTGGCGCAGGTCCTGTCCAACCACCACCTGGAGGACGTGGTGCGGACTCACGCCCGCGACGAGCTGGGCATCGATGTGGACGAGCTGGCGCGCCCGCTCCAGGCTGCCGTGGTGTCGGCCCTGTGCTTCACCTCCGGCGGGCTCATGCCCCTGCTCGCCGCCGCCTTCGTGCACGACCAGACCGTGCGGCTGATCGCCATTGCGGGGGCCACCACGCTGGGCCTGCTGCTCTTCGGCGTGCTCGGTGCCTTCTTGGGCGGCGCGCACAAGTTCCGCGGCGCGGCCCGCGTCGTGCTCGGCGGCTGGCTCGCGCTGGGTGAGGAGGGGTACCCTTGGAGTGGGAGGGGGGGGGGGGGGGTAGAGCGTGAGTGGTTTTCTGGACACTGCAGCCTGGGGGTATGGCGAGGCGGGGGGGGTTAATGGCGAGTGGCGGGTGGCCGGGCACGGGGCCTGGGCAATGACCGGCGCATGTGCATGCAGCCGTGCAGGCGGCATGCAGGGTCCCTGCAGTCGTCACGCAGGCGCTCACGCACACAGTCCCTCGGTCCCACACATGCAGGTGTGGTGTACGGCATCGGGAATCTGCTGGGCGTGGAGGGGGCGGCGTGAGGCGGATCCCTGGCTGCAGCTCCAGGAAGCCTGGCGATGCGCAGATCGTGTTCAGGGCGACACCAGCTGTGCACCTCTGCCTGGGGTGACCGCAGGAACGCACTTGCCTTGATCGCTCCCGGCGACTGCTGATCTGTGTGTATCACGCAGTCGCTTGCCGCCCTCTTGCCCTCACCAAGCCTGTGTGCTCCTGGCGATTGCTTTGCTGTTGGTTTTTGCACAGCTGCGGTGCCGGCCCCCTCAAGACGGGCAGGTAGTTTGAGTCAGAACATGCATGGTCGCTGATTCTCTCCCCCTTGACATACAGCCCTCAAAGCTGGAGCTGAGCCGAAGCAAGCATGCCTGCTCCTGCCCTGTTTTAGATGTATGTGCATGCCGCGTGTGTAGATTGCTGGAGCAGGAGCACCCAGAGGGTGGCTTGAGTATGCCACAATGCATGTTGCCACCAGGCAAGTCGGGTAAAGCCGTGCACATCGGCTGGGCCCTTGTATCCTCCTCCTGATTGATGGGTCCCAATGTGCAAGCTGCTGATGAACAGGCATGCACAGGCACTGACACACCTCTGGGATTTCTGATGATGGAAGGCTTACAAGGCAAGGATACTATGTGGCAGGCCATCAGCGCCCTTGGCCAATCATACAATGTGACCGCGGCTGGGCGAGGGGCATAAGGCAGGGGCAGGGCATCTACGTTCATGGATTCAGTGGCAAGTTCACTGCATAGACAGCTTCTGCTAGGCTAAGGCATGGTGGATTGAAGCAGCGTGGGCAATGCCAAGACCCTACACGTCCGGGTTGGCATTCACCTGTCCGCGTGCAGCGCCAGCGGGGTGGCGCACGGTGTGGATGTTTACCTGTATAGGGGAGGCAGGCGTCCAAGGTGAGTGTTCTTTGTGTGCTGGATTTCAAGGCATTCAGCGTCTGGGAAGGGGTGCTTCTGTGGACAGACTGGGCCAAACCATCAGACCATGGCAGGTCGACTTGTACAATGTTTGAAAGTCGTGGGCGGGCAAAGGCATGCTCTGGCAGAGGCCATTCCGCTGCTATAAGCACCTCGCATCCGGCGCGAAGCCGACGAAGGGGCGTGCCCCGCTGGAATTACCCTCGCCCATGTCCGGAGCAAACCCTCGGACCCCCACACTCATTCCACTCACGTAGACCTCCTCGGTGTAGAAGGAAGATATGAGGTCGTCCATCTCTAGCCCTGCGAATGGGCCCACGAAGTCGTCGGCGGTGAATGTTCCATTGAAAGCGAGGCGAAGGCCGGTCCTGGGGTGCTTGAACATGGGAGGGATGCTCCCGTCGAAGGCGTTCACGGGCTCGCCCAGAGGAAGCAGGCCCACGATGATCGGTCCGTTGGTCACGGAGTTGCCCTACGAGCTCGGAAGACGGTGGGGAGGAGTTGATGCTTTCAAACCCCTGCCGCGGATGCAACACTGCTCCGGCAGCCAGCCGGCGGTGCAGGTCCTTCCTTGGTAGCCTCGCCCACCTTGAATTCATCGCCCAACAAATGGATAACTTTCGCATATACTCACCAGATGAATGTGTGCCATGGTCAGATTCTGCACGTGGAACACCTCCAGCTCCCAAGTTACGGTGCCGTTTGCGACGCTGGCAGCAAAGAAGGCGGTCGTGTTGCGGTTTATGGGGGGCACCGACTTTGCCGCCGTGACCTTCGCGAAGAACTCGAACAAAGGCGCGTCGTCGTCCGTGGCAAAGTCGTCGCTGTGCGAGAGCGCAGGCTTGGCAAGGGCGACCACCACCAGCACGGCAAGCAGGGAGGAGCGCAGGGAAACCATGATGACCGGCTTGGAGTCTTAAACGTACGTTTTTAACTTTTTAATAGGAACAGGATTGGGTTATTGACTGAACATGGGAGAGTATTTGCTTTAAACTTAGGTGCCAGCCCAGTTTCGTCGACTCCGGTCCAGCTACCTCTGCTGCAAGGAAAGCATGCCCAGAACCGGCGGAATAGCAACCCGGACTTGGACGCCCACGTCCGTACCATTGGGCGATCATTCGATTTGAGGACAGCTACAGCTGTGAAGCAAATAATGATGTCGGTTTCGCGCGGTGATGGCACGAACGTGGCTGCGCCCGATTTGGTGGTTCCAGCATTAAATTTCGAACGCGGTGGGCCGTGTAGGTGCAATGTCAGTTTCCTCTCATCCCTGAAGCTGGCAAGGTCGAATCGTCATTTCTGAGGCTTCAGGGCAGCAAGCCCTGAACATTGTGTTGTATACTCCGCCCTGATTGAAGTTTTCCTAAGCATTGAGTGTACGGTGCGCCTGGTCCTGTTCACTGAGGAGGGATGTGGTAGAGCGTCTGGACCAAACTTGCTCTGGGCTGCACTTCGCTGGAGCGGGAGTGCCAGCTGTCAGGGCTGACAATGTATTGGACGAGAAGGTGGGAGGTTTAACCTCGTCGACCGGTGTATAGTCGAAAGCGGGAAGCTGATGACGTCGACTCTGGACCTCATCAGTGCACAAGCGAGACTTAGGTGTTGCCAGAAAGCATGGGGACGTTCCAATCAGCCTTTATCCAGTAGTACGAGTGGTAAAGTCTTCCTCAAACAGATTCAAGCTTTTCGACCACAAAACCGGCAGGTTGCCTGGCTATGTGTCAGACACATGCCCACAGCACTCTCTTGCAACAGCGCAGTGTCATGTCACCACAGCTTCCATTGACACCCGCCAGGGAAGCATCCCCTCCACCTCCCCCACACCAGTGCGTAGACAGCTGTGAACGCTGCAGGCCTGCAGTCCCATTTGATACGATTTCCTTGCCTCCTGAGACTGCAGAACTAGCACAAGAATCTACACATCCACAGTTCAATGACAAACACATGCAAATACTAAAAACGGAGGGCCACTACATTCAATCTTGGGTGGAACAGGTGGGTGTAGGCCAAGGGAAGGGGATGAAGGCAAGCCCTCAAACTACACACCATGCAGGCGCATCCTCAAATCTGCTCAACGCTCTGCTCCGATAATATGGGTTGGCAGACACATCCTTGGCGCCAGCTCAGGCCTCACGACTGCGGGATGACTTGGCCCCTCACCAGCCCAGCAGGGTACTGGGTGGTGTGCAGGTTGACCTGGTGCGAGGGGCAGGGAGGGGGTGGAGAGGGGCAGGTTGAGACCAACTTGGAAATCTGACACTTTGAGAATTCCATCATGGGGTTTGGTCTGTGCAAGCGCAGCAGGCAGGGTTTTCAGGATGCCACGCTGAGGTAAATCCCCACGTACATATGTACCCCCAGCCTTGAAGGCTTGGGTGAGGGCGCTCAGGGGCCTTCCAGCGTATGGGCCCGCCAGGTCCCTGGCAGTGAACTTGCCGCTGTATCTGTTGGATCCGCTGAATGGCGGAGTGATGGTGGGCAGGGTGGCGTTGGGGCCAAAGGCTGAGGCTGGGTAGCCTTTGGGCAGCAGGCCGACGATGACGGGACCGTTCGTGCCCGCTCCGCCCTGTGAAAAAGGTTAAAAGAGATGGAGGGCTTAGAGTATGGTCGCGATGGAAGAAAGGGAGGAAACGTTCCCCTACGAGCTGCCGGGCTCCACTTCTGCACACGCACCCCAACTCCCGACAGTACGGGCGCAGGGCTCCCCTCCCCGTGCATGCAACCACCACATCCACCTTACCAGATGAATGTGGGCCATGATGAGGTTCTGGACGTTGCTAACCTGAATCGTCCACTCGTACTCATCCTCGTCGTCATCCAGATCAAAGTAGGCGCGACCAGTCGTCGGTGTGTTTATGGCAGGGCTCTGATTGGACCCGGAGAGAATGGTGTAGTACTCGTCATCATCGTTGTTATCGTCGCTGTCGTTGTACCTGTCGTCGTTGTCGTTGTCGTTGTCGTCATCGTCATCGCAGCGCACCACCACGAACGAGGTGAGCAGCAGGATTGAGAGGAGGAGAGCGACACCCTTCATGTTGGCAAGGGTCGGAAGCGTAGGATGGGTGAACGACCAGGTTCTAGTTGATAAGTCTATCGGGTTTCGACGATTTGTTAGTCCCACCGGTTGGACCATGGATCTTATTCCACCCAAATTCCATGGGTGCTTTCCTCGGGCCGTGCCAACTCCGCGACATTTCCTACAACCGTGACACGACCGACTGTGCAGCGCTTCCTGCCGCACCACGCGCCCCTCAAGGTTACCTAGGTATCATTATACTCTCAATTACACATTTCTAGGCCGAACGAGGACGGGAATCCCTCGGTAGGCAGAAATTCAGGCTTTCTAGCTAGTCCGCCGGGGGGACGGTGCAGGTCAGGCAGCTGCGTCAGCTAAAACGTGTACGAGAGAAAACCGGAAGCGTCGAATGAGACGCTTCCCTCCAACACACTTCGACCTTGAAATAACATTATAATGGATGTCTCGTTTCCTGACCCCAAAGTGGTTGTGGGGCCGGGGTCCTTCACGTGTTTCCGACCGAGGTCATGCCCGATCGGGGTACTCAGAGAAAAACAATGAGAAGCAGTGACCCAAGCAAGATCGGCGAGTTGGATGTGCAAGATGCTGCTCCTTGCCCTTCTATCTCTAACAGGCGTCTGCTTCTGACGCAACACCGTAACACATCTTGTCATGTGATCGTGGCCACTGGCACAGCTCTAAAAGCAGGGTGACAAGCAGGAGGAGTTATCCAGGGACAGATGAGGTTGCCCAAGGCATTGCCAGGACCCCTGAGGCGCGTGCGTGGAGCAGGATGCAGGCTTTGGTAGCGCATGCGGTCGAGGAATCTCGTTCTGTAGTCATGCGCAACGCCGCTGCTTAATTCTTGGCGCTGTGCGGCATCACCTGTCCCCGCAGGATGCCGCCTGGATTCTGTGTGGTATAGAGGACCACCTGCACGTGGCGGTGACAACGGCAGAGTGGGATGAAAGAGACTCTGATCCTTTGAGAACCGGCTAGTCTTTGTAGATAGGCATCGCCTACTCCCCTTTTTGAATCTGGCTGCCGCCTTTGCTGGACCCAGCCTCCCCTTGACGCACCTGGGTCTCTCCAGAGGCGAGCGCCTCCTCGAGGTCCGCAAGAGTTCCCCCGGCCAGGGGTCCAAGCAGATCCTCTGCGGAGCTGTGCCCATGGAAGAGTGTGTCACCAGTGAAGGGCGGGGTGATCTGCGGCAAGGGTCCGTCGATCGCATCGAAGGCCGAGGCGTTCACATTAAGGGGTAGGAGTCCCAAGATGAGGGGCCCGTCCTCGCCGCTAACCCCCTGCGCCACCGGGATTGAGAGGGAGGGATGATGCATTGCTAATTATACGGACTAGCTTCGACCATCACATCTACGCCATCACGCCAGGTGTCCAGGCGGCCATCCCCCGTGGTGCACGGGAATCCCGTCCTCGCATCCACATACCAGGCATGCCCTCCGCCACCCATGATCCCAGCTCACCATGCGGAGGACGGCAGCCGTGAGATTCTCTACTCCCATGACATCTATATCCCAGACGTACTCGGGCTCGTCCTCGTCGGGGTTGAACCAGGCTGTCCCGCCAGCTACAGTATCTATGGGTGGGGATTGCTCGACCACCTGAAGGTCCGCCCGGAACTTGAAGTCGTCGTACTTGCCATGATCATGGGGCTGCAGGTCAGCCTGGGTGGTGTGCTGGTGCTCATGGTCATGGTCGTGGTCGGCATGTTCGTCTGCACAGAGCACGGCAGGTATGGAGCCCAGGAGCAGCAGCAGTGGCAGCAGGGACACGGCGCCCTTCATGATGACTGCGGGTTCTGGAACTTCAAAAGATTATATTCCTGATTTGATACCAGGATGCTGGCAGAGTCGGTTCATAATCCATTCTGGTGAACCCAATCCCTGGGTCACACGAGTCCCAGACAGGATATTCTGGGACCTTGCGAGTCCCCGGGATTCAGAAGCTGTTCCTTCGGAGTGGCCAGCGTCGTGGCGCAGTACCCAGGTGCTCGAATGGCGAGGCTCATGATGCTTGACTGAGTATTCCTGAACGCATTCACGAGGCCCGGCGCTGGTCTTCACGAGCGGCGTCCTCCGACCTGCCGCGGGCAGTCTGTCTGGCGCGAACCCTTGACAAAACGAGACGATGCGGGCGAGGAGGTGGGCGCGCGCCGGGCGCACTCCTCCCCATCCCCTTTTCCCTAGGGCTCCCATCCTGAGCCCGGCTCGATAGGACGAGGCATTACAACCGGTTCCAGCATGCATGCCTGCATGGGGCCATGTGCATGCCACGATGGAGCATTGCTCCGCCAGGGCCTTCAGCGGTGGCCCTGCCCGAACTGGCCCTGGTACTGCGAGTACCCGGCCTGGTTGCCGTACAGCGCGGCCTGGGAGGCCTCGCCGCCGCGGGCCCCCAGCCGCTCCTGCTTCCCGGCCGCCGCGCCGTAGGCCGCGCCGGGCTGCTCCTCGTAGCCGCTGTAGCCGGCGGCCGCGGGCGGGTACTTGTAGGCCGTGGCGCCCTGGCCGGGGGTGTAGGCGCCGCCCTGGGTCGGGTAGTAGGGCATGTTGGGCATGGGGTAGCCGTAGGGCTGAGGGACAAAGGGGAACCTGTGGTGGGGAGGAGGGGGGGAGCGGTGTGGGCCACATGCGAGTGGGGAGCACGGGGTGAGGGGAGGGACAGCGCGTGGTGAGCAGGCCAGGGGCTCGGCCGGGCATGGTGCATCCGTATGGCGGGGCGCGGCGAGCCTCAAACCCGCGAAGCAGTCGTGAACGACGGGGCTGGGGCACCCACCCATGCGCGCGGCGCCCTCTCCACGAGCACCAGAGATGTCCACACACACCCATTCGCGCTTTCCTCCCTACAATCCAAAGATCCACGCGGACTCACTGCGGCATGCCGTAGCCGCCGTAGCCGTAGGGCAGCTGTGGCATGGCGGCCGCGCCGGCACCCTGCTGTCCCGCGCCGTACTGCTGCGCGCCCTGCTGCGCGCCCTGCCCGCCGTACTGCCCGCCGGCCTCGGGCTTGGGGCCCGCAGGCCGCGCGCCGGCCTGCGGACCCGGCCCGGCGTACTGCCCCGCGCCGTACTGCCCGTACTGCCCGTACCCGCCGCCCAGGCCCGGGGCGGGCCCCAGCGCGGCGCCAGACTTGGCCCCGAAGCCGTACTGCCCCGCGGCGCCGTACTGCCCGTACTGCGCGGCGGCGGCGGCCGCGGCGGCCGCCGCGGCCGCCGCGTGCTCCGCGGCGCCGTACGTGCCGTAGTCGGAGACAGGGCCGCCGTAGCGGCCGCCGTCGCCAGCGGGGGGACCACCTGCCAGGGACGAGGCTGCTGCGCCCGCGGCCTCAGGGGCCTCGTACTGCGCGCCCGCCCCGAACCCGGTGCCAAACTCGCCGGCGGCGGCCTGGCCGCCGCCGATGCCGAACTGGCCGAACTGGAGGCCCAGCGCCGCCGCGACATCGGCGGGCGGGGGCTGGCTGGGGACGGGCTCGGCCT